GTATCTAAACCATGCTAAAAGTGAAATCAGAAAACGTAAACTAAAATGAATAAAATTTTATCTAAAATATGTGAAAGCAAAGTGTTCGCTAAAAGAACAAGAAGAAKAATAGCTTAAAAGAATAATAAGACAAAAAGCAAGAAGTATTTTTTAAAGAGAACAATGTTTGAAACGGTGTGAAGAGGTTGGAGGGTCTCATACTGATTAATGTATTTGGGGTAAATTTTCAATTTAAATAAAGAAAAAAACCAAAGGACGATCGTGCTGATTGAGTTAAATGTTTGGTTGTAAGAATTGTTAAAATAGAACAAGTAGTAGAAGTAGTTTGCAAAAAAAAAAAAGAAAGAAAAAGAAAAAAAACTCATGAAACTAAAAAGAGGAAAGCCTAATATGGTTAAATGAAAACAGAAAATATGTTCACATTCAAACCAACTCTGTCTTTCAAGTCATCTGTGATCCCTACATCTAAAGAGAGCGAACAGCGCCATCTGGTGTCTGACCTCTGCAACAACAGTAGTTCAGTTTCAGTTCTGCAGACACATCAGGGGACTGACGAGCTGCTGCTGCCCTGAGGCAATCCTCCAGAAAACTGCCCACCTCCATCCTGCGACACTCATCCAATCAGGACTAAATGGATTTCCCCTTCTTCCCTCTTCTCACTTGTCTTACGTTTTTGCAAGAGTGGAAATCCAATAAAATGGCCACGTATAGCTGTTGAGAAAGGATTGCATCATTAAGTTAGCACTTTGTTTTCTATGCACCAAAATCAAGTTAAGAAGGGGATTAAAAAAAACTGGCATTTTAATACTCTGGTAAAACTGCTTCAATCAGAACCTAATTGGTTTTATAATGAAACAGAGTCACAATAAAAGCCTGTGGAAAAAAGTGTTTTCTAATATTGACTGGATAAAAAAAAGTTTTATCATACAACAGTTTAGATACTTTGGATTTCCTTGTTGTCAGGTAGTACAAAATAGCAACAATATTGAATTACAAAGTATAAAGCTCTTTGATCAGATACAATCAAACTAATTCACAGGTTATGGCAGCAGAGTCTTTATAAATAATTACTAATGCCCAATAAGAACACGTTTATATTTAGAAAAATCAAATGATTTTACTTAAAAAAATAAAATAAACAGCTTATACAAGATTGTCTCAAGACAAAACTCACCTTTTCTGTCTCAAGAGTTTCGGTTTTCTTTGTGTTTCCGGGTAGGGCGGGGCCAAAAAATGCTGCTTTTAACGTAGTAGGAAATTTCATAATTACAACTTGGTCTGGATATTTAGCTAAAATCTGGTCTGAGTAAACATMATCGTCAACAACAACAACTGTTATAAACCTGTTTAAACGTACTATTTTATTTACAGAAGTTTTAAAGGAAACAAATAACTTTATATTTGCGTGTATCTGCACGCTTTACATGTCGGTACAAACTCTGCAACAAGAAGTAAAATTGATTTGATTGTGTTTGTTTAAAAACCAATTTATATTTAAATGTGCACAAGCAAACTAAAGTTAAAAAAAGTAAGTTAAAATAAACTCTGGTTCCTGTTTTGCACTTTTGCAAGCATGTGTGACATTTAATCAATAAAATAAAAGGATTATCAACATTATTCTGAACTGGATTCATGTTTTTATTTTTATGTTGCCACATTGAACAAATTCACATTCAAGAATCTTAATTATCTCTTAGTTGCAGTAGAAAAATATCCAAAAAAACATTCATGCAACACAAGACATAAAAGCACTAAAATAACAGTACAAAAAATAATCAGTGTTGAAGTCTGATTATTGCAGGGATTAATGTGTTTTTTAGTCTATTAGTTCTATATCAGAGCAATAGATACTGTATCTGCGTCTGGACAGAGTCAACTTAAACTAATCATGAGTGCAGGTTATGTCCTTTCTGAAGCAATCTGGGCTCAAACCTGCAGCTCGCAGGATTACAAGACCACAGCACTGATCACGAAGCTACTGCAACACAGTAAAGCCTCACCTAGCCAAATTTGAGGTCAATCAAGTCTTTACATTAAACAGAGTTGTAGCCATTTAAAACTACACTTTTCTAATTCTCTGTTTGAAAACCAAAGATATGCTCAAACCAAAATGCAGGACTAAAAGGTATATTCTCAAAAACGTCATTATGTTGCAAAATCATGGAGTTTTGGTGGAAAACCCTTGAAACCCTTGCTGTGTTGTGTTTTATAGGGTCAGTTCAGTAATGYAGAGCCAGTGATTTGCTTCTGATCGTTTCATCAAAGTTTGAACACTAATTCATGAGGCTTTTTCCAACAGACACTACAAAAGTTATTGGCCAAATTTTAGCTCTTGAGCAATCTGGTAGCGCTCAGAATATACAACCCCTGGCAAAAATGATGGAATCAGTTGTTAAATTTTGGAGAAAAAAATAAAAAAGCAGATCACAGACGTGACACAAAACTAAAGTCATTTCAAATGRCACTTTCTGGCTTTGAGAAAAACTAAAAGAAATCAAGAAATAAAATTGTGGCAGTCGGTAACAGTTACTTTWTTTTGGCCAAGCAGAGGGAAAAAATAKAGAATCACTCARTTCTGAGGAAAAAAATGAAAGCATGAAAAACAAAAGAAACAAATGAACATTCCARCTCATCGCTAGTATTTCGTTGTACTACCAAACAGTTTGCAGTCTCTGAGGCATGGACTTAATGAGTGACAAACACTCTTCATCAACCTGGTTCCAACTTTCTCTGATTGCTGTTTCCAGATCAGCTTTGCAGGTTGGAGCCTTGTCATCGACCATTTTCTTCAACTTCCACCAAAGATTTGCATTTGGATTGAGATCCGGACTATTTGCAGGCCATGAC